ATGCGCTTGGATTCAAGTCACTGACAGACACACAGCGTCTACGACAGGTGGCCAGAGACGCGGCAGACGCTGACACAGACAGACATGTGTGAGACAGGAGAAGAAAGCCAAAGTGACAGACGAGTCGGACGAGAAGATAACAGCGAGAGAGAACAGAGAGGAACAAGGAGGTAAATACCAGAGCAGGAGAAGGGACGTTTCCTTTGGGACTGGTGACTATGCTGTTTTTGGCACTGTTTGACTGCGGCTGTGCAGAACACAAAACAGTGTTAAAGGGTGTCAAGTGGGTGTTTAAGGGCGAGAAAAGAGAGCAATAGAGAGAGAGAGCAGGGGGTGATAACGTGTTTGGCAGTGAGAGAGGACTGTGTTTCATCTGAACACACAATAGTTCAAAATTACAAAGAAAATCAAGACATTTTAAGAAAATTAATTAGGCTTATGGGATCAACCAAATTATTTGACAATTATTTTGACAACTTAGCACAAATTCCCGAAAATGTCTGATTACCATAATGTATCTGGATGTTTTCAGTTTTAATATTTTATTATTTTTTAAATAATTTATTTATTAATGTAATAATTAATATTATTAAGTAACAGATTCATTACTTATTAAAGGGAACGATAGACCAACAGATAGATAAACAAAATTATTTTTTAAATAATTTATATATTAATTTAATAATAAATATTGTTAAGCAACTGATTCATTAATTATTAATTTTAATAATAGAACAACAGATAGAACAATAGATGGAACGCTAGACCAACAGGATAGATGAAACTTAGTTTATGTTTTTGTACATACCATAATTTTCAAATTGTGATTATCATTAGATTATCATAAAAAATTATATGTAAAAATTATACATACGTAAAAAAAAAATTTAATTACCAAGGTGTACAAAAACTTAATTTATATTGTACTGCATTACAGTATTGATATAAATGTCTTCATTTCTTTAACCAATATAACAATTTTTTTTTTTTTTTTGTGGCCTGAACAAGAACTTTGCAAATTTTGTGAGATTCGTTCTTTTAACATACAACGTTTTTTGAAATAATTAAAATTTATTGCATTGCACTGCTGGAAAATCCAGTTAAAACCAGTGTCTGATAGCTGGTTTTACATGGTTTCTATGTGGTCCAAACTAGTCTAATCCAGATGGTTAGAATAAAGTTGACTTGGTAGGCCGAGTTGATAAAGCTGGTTAAAGCTAGTAGATCACCCAGGACCAGCAAAAAACACCTTTTACATCTTAAGATGCTATGTTTTTTTTCCAACAGGCTGAATAAAAGGAAACAAAATTAAAAAAAGCAAACAGAAGTAAGCAAACAGTTCAGAAAACCCGTGCTTGGTCAATTGTTTTCTTCGAGAAAGTCGCAGTAGGAAAGCACAACTAGAGGAGAGTCCTTATGGATCTACATTGAGTACATTCACAGACAACAGCAGACAGACACAAGGAAGCAACAACGAAAAGCCCAACACAAAAGACATTCTGCACCACAGTCTAAAACAAACACAACAACAGTCAACACTGACTCGCTACAACCCTACAATGACGTCAATCCAAAAACACTACGACCCTCACCTGCGTCTGAGGAGTCATTTAGTGCCATCTGACCCTTTAAACCAACCGCTTGACATTTGAGCAAGAGAAGAATCAATATCGATCATTACAGAGGAAGAGTAGATTTATTCGACATTGTGCATTAAATGACATAAAAGCCCAACAGGATGAGCAAATGAATGAATGGATAAACAAGAGTGCGATGAGAAAGGGATGGAGGGATAAAGAGATTAGGATTAAACATCATTCTCACCATGTACTGAACGGTGGAGCTGGATTTCCGTTTCTTGGTGGAAAGGGGGTGATGGAGGGATGGAATGAGAGAGTTAAAATACATGTTATGATGAAGGCTGAGATGAACATTAAACACAGAATGGCACAGATGTATGAGAGGCAGGAGGGTTGAGAGAAGGTGGGTTTGGGTGTGGGTTTTTGGCAAGAAAGTGAGTTTGTCTGGTGGATAAAAGAGTCTTGATGTGGTTTAATGTACAGAACAGTCTTTAAGTCCTTCTCTTCTCAGATATCTTAATACATTATTGTAAACACACACACACACAGAGCTGCTGATGGGATTGAGTCAGTGCAGGTGTTGACAGGACTGTTCCTGTATCTCTACAGTTATGAAATTACTTTCAGAGGAAGAAAAAAGTTTAGGTTTTGTCTAATGTCTAATCAAGCTATATATAGATAGATAGACAGATAGACAGACAGACGGAAAGAACGACAGAACGAATAACCGAATTAATAAACACAGGAAGAACGAAAAACGATAGATAGAATGACAGACAAAGCAATAGAACAATAGAATGATTGAATGAAAGATCAAGAGATAGATCAATAAATCAACATATACAATGATAGATGTTGATAGAACAACAGACAGATAAAATGGTAGATAGATAGGTAGGTAGGTAGGTAGGTAGGTAGATAGATAGATAGATAGATAGATTACAATTCAGTAAACTCCTCTTCCTGTCATTCCAATTCTACTTCCTGTCCCTTTATTCATCTGTTGTTTCTTTCCCCCTGAGCTTGTGTTTGTGAGTGTCTGCTAGAGTTAAATCACGCTCATCCACGCGTCCCCTCACAATTCCTCCTGCCGTGATGCTCTTCATCGCACTGCAGCACAAAAGGCAGGACAGTGAGAATACTGGAGCGTAGAAAAAAGAGGGAAATGTCAGAATGAAGGAGTGTGGCGAGCCAGTTGCTAAGCAATGAGTGAGGCGCAGTGGAAGCGTCTATTTCTGTCTCCCGGCTCCCTGGGTTCAAACCGCCAGCTATTCCTGGAGCGAGAGCTACATTCTCTCCTGCCGCTGCTCTCGCTAACACTCACACTCTGGATCGGGATGGATATAGTGGATCCGGAGCGAGGCGTGGGTGGAGGAATCATGGAATGATTGGCGACGAGAGACAAAAAAGTGCCTCATTAGTGTGGCTGACAATCAAAGGGCCGATGAAAGATCACACCTGCCTGAGCGGCTAATGAGAGTGCCAGAAAAATTAACGATTCCCACCGCAGGTGCAGTTTTGAGTGAACTTGTAGAGGAGATCCTCTCGGCGGCTAACAAGAAGTGAACTCAGCTGAGGAAGAAAACATAGTCTGACTGAAATGCTGATGTGGGCAGACTTAACTGCAGTCAGATACGGAGAGAAAATACAATATGAATGCATATGGGTCACTACCATAGACTGTATAAAAACATGGACGTAGTGTCCGTGACGTCACCCGTAGGTTTCCGAAGAGTGTTTTTAAAGCCTAAAGTAGGCGGAGCTGGCCGTCGCCATCTTGGCAGCGCGTCACATGCATTAAACTGATCAAAAGTGACAGTATATGCATTTATAATGTTACAAAATATTTTTTTGCTATTTTTTAATTATTTCAGCTAGTGGCCAAGGCAACATTTCAAATTTAAATTCAGTTTAAATTGATGTACTAAAATAAATAAAACTGGAAAAACAATTATTAATAAAAAAAGTTATATGTATGTATGTATATATATATATATATATATACACACAAACTACGTTGCAACCAGAGTTTTTGTTGTTCCAAGCTTGAATTTGAAAAACAGAAAAAAATTCGAAATGCCTTGGCAACTAACTGAAAAAGCTGAAGTACTAAAATTACTAAAACTTAAACTGAAATAAAAAATACACTAGAACTAAACAGAAATATTTTTTAAAGAAAAAGTAATATTGAATTAAAATGAGAAATGAATTAAATAATTGTAATTGTACATTTCTAAAACTAAAACAAAAAAATAAACTAAACGTAACAGAAACATAAAAAACTATTAAATGAAAATTAGAAATTAAAAATAAAATAAGTTAGTCAAAGTCCTAAAATTTATAAAACTAAAACAAAAAAAGCTAAATATAAATATTTAGAAAGACAAAAACAAATATGAATGACAAAAGCACATAAAATTACTAAAATTCAAACTAAAATATAAAAATTATATATATAAAAAAAATACTATGATAGCTTATAAATAAAAATAAATATAAAATCTAATTCAACATTTATAAATGCAATGATAGCCTATAAATTATACTAAAATAACACTGGTTGCAGCATCACAAATAGTCACAGTTGTTCCTATAAAGGTTATTTTACACCATGTATGGCTCATCCAATCATATTTATATGTAATACTGGTTTAAACTGTTTCATAATCTTTTACAAAACTCCATTCATTGAGTTGCAAAAAACTAAATTAGATTCCTTGTAAACCATTTTATTCACTGAATAATCCAAAAAGAGGTATTAGTATGTAGTTATATAATACATAAAACATTTTTGGATTGAATTTGGGAAAAAATGGCTATACTGTGATATACATTGTGACCGTAATATAATATTATTCATATTATGAAATAAGATTACTATACCGCCCACCACCAGCTCACTGTCCAGCTTACTTAGTGAAGAACCAATGAATCTAATCTCACAGAATAGACAAACACACACTGCTAGAAAGGACAGAGCATGGGAGACAAACACTGCAAACACACAGATCTGCTTCAGATCAGACACACAGTGGATGCCAGAACTTCCAACAATTAAAGGACAAGACACGTTCAGGAATCCCTCCTCTATCGGAAACTGTGCTTGGCGAATGAGAACAGAAAGAGAAAAAGGTATGAGAAAGGGAAGAAGAAAAAGGAATTAACGGGGGCTTACCTTGACATCAGCCTTCTTGTTGAGCAGGCTCTTGGCTGCTGTAGACGGGGAGAGAGGAAAGGCAAACATCAGCACGCTGGGATGGGAGCAACAGTCAACATTACCGGAGCGCTAATGGTGCTCGGCCAAACATGTCACATAATCGTCCGAGCCAGCCGGGGAAATCACTCCCGCCCCACATCCAGAGGATTACAGCCGTCTAAAACACTACACGCGGAGTGCATGTCCGCACACGCATCACCACAGGAGCGTGGCACGCTTTAGCATATGCACGGTGCGGCCCACACTGAAACCTGGTAGAATTAATCACGAAATATAATCAAAACTTCCTGTCCAGGAGTGAGGGGTTAGTGACTGCCATGCACACGCAATGCTGGTGCACATGCAGAAGAGTGCAAACACACACACACACACACACAGTTACTTAGCTAAAAGAAGATATAGCATAGACTTCTGTTGTTTTTATATGATGCAAATTAATAGCTAATAAATATCGATAAAACAAGTTAAATTTATACTTGAAGAGCCTAATTGCATTAGATATTAAGATCATTTAGATTTTCCTTTGTTTTTTTTAAGCATAAATCAAACAAAATTACATGTTTGAAACAAGATAAAAATGTATATATATGTAAACAGGCATTCATGTATAGTTATTAACGTTAATGTTTAAGGTTTAAATTTTTTTTTAACTTAAATCAAGACAAAACTTTTTAAGTTTAAAACTAGTGTAAAACTAACCTAATTCTGTCCTTAAAATAAACTTTCCCCCATTTTTAGAATTAAAAAACATTTACACGATTATTGCGGTTTAAAATAATTGCCTTTTATTTGAAAATATATTTTGAAATATTTTAAAATGATTCCTATGATAAAGATAGCACAGACTTCTGTTATTTTTATATAACGCAAATATAATTAGTAAATATCCATAAAACAAATAAATTTACTTAAAAAGTCAAATTGCATTAGTTAAAGAATTCTGTTTCTTTCCTTTGTTTTTAAGCACAGACCTAGCAAAATTACCTGAGCTTTATGCTCAAAATAAGATAAAAATATATAATACAATATTTACAAGAATGTTTATTTTAATTTAATCTAATGCATCCTTGCTGAAAGAAAGTATGCATTTATTAAAAAAAACAACTGACCCCAAACATTTTATCGGTAGTGTATATTATTCACTTTATTTATAAATTATTTTTGTAACCTCCCAAAGGCAGGTTGTGACAGATTTAGTTAACTTCTATCCTAAAGTACAGCTAAATAAAGCCACAAACACACGCACACTGCAGTTAAAGCATGATACGTTCAAATATTTGGTTCATGGGGTGGCAAGGACCTGCAAATTTCTTGCCACAAATGAGAATGATGATGTTTGTCAAAGTGAATAAAAACCGTCTAACACAACTTCTCATCACTAAAATGAAATCACATGAAATGAAGCCTGCAAATCCTATATGAACTTTAAATCTTCTCTGCCATGGCAATACACAGAAAGAAATATTCTTAGCGTTTATACGGCGCTAAAGTCCCCTGACTTTATTAATCCGTGCAGATAAGGGGAAGGTGTTGTGTGGAGGCAGGGTTGAGAAAGAGAGAAAAAGAGAAAAAGAGAGAGAATCTTACCTTGACACAAATGTTAGAGGCAGAGAAGAATGGAGAGAAGGAGAGATTAAGATAGAATAGATTAAGAGAGAGAGATCAGCACGGGTTCATCTGGAGTGTGTTTGTCTGGACGAGGGCAGGGGGTTCAAATGTGTGTCTCTTAACTGATGTATAACAAAGGTTTATGTTCCCTCTTTGGTTTTATTTTCAAATCGTCATCTTGTGCCATTTTCAAGCCCTTTCCTCCATGACACAATTGTAGTGACACCTAGAGGTGGCAACAAACCTGATTCACCTAAAACACCTGAGACACACACACAAAAACACTGCAAAGATGTGGAGGAGAAATGCAGAGACGGAGATTCTACAAAACAGATCAAAATAAACAATTCTGACCGCTAGGAATTAATTTAAAATTGTGAAGCAGTGCACTATGGGTAAACCAGGTCACAAGTGTTACAGATGCATTGCTGTCCAACCAAACTAAATTCAAAACGTGCAACTGTGTTATAATGATTATCAAACAAAATCTCACACAAGTATAAATAGACTAGACTGGTCTTGGACTGAAATGAAAGTGCCTCACTTAAGGAACATTGGAGGCTATATTTATTGCAATGTCCATTGCTCGTATTTGAAGCATGCTGTTGATTTTACTTCAAAAAAAGTTTACCCTCAATGTGAATAAATGGTTGCAAAATGTGGTTACAGAAATATAAAGGGATAGTTCACCCAAAAATGAATATTCTGACATCATTTACTCACACTCATGTTGTTCCAAACCTGTATGCATTTCTTTGTTCTGTACAACACAAAAGACGATATTTTGAAGAATGTTGGTAACTGGTTTCAACCCAAAACAGTTTCAGGTCCCATTGACTTCCATTGTATGGACAAAAAATACTATGGAAGTCAATTGGACCTGAAACTGTTTGACTTCCAGTGAATGGACAAAAAAATAAAAAATACTACGGAAGTCCCTGGTCATTCAGATTTTTTGTATCTAAGGTTGAGAAGTGCAATCTCGGAGTACCATGGAACTGTAAACTGGACTCTCACCCTCTGTTGGATTTTGTGAAACTCTTCCAGGCACATGGAGCAGTGTCATATATGTATAACAGTACATATGTTCAGTATGTTCTGTTCTGCAATATAAAAAAAAATAATAATAATACGGAAGTCAATGGGACCCAAAACCGTTTGGTTACATACATCTTTTATGTTCCACAGAAGAAAGAGTCACACAGTTTTGGAACGACATGGGAGTGAGTAAAGGATGACAGAATTTCATTTTTGAATGGACTACCTAGAAAATAATCTGCTGAAACTGTTTGACTTCCAGTGAATGGACAAAAAAATAAAAAATACTACGGAAGTCCCTGGTCATTCAGATTTTTTTGTATCTAAGGTTGAGAAGTGCAATCTCGGAGTACCATGGAACTGTAAACTGGACTCTCATCCTCTGTTGGATTTTGTGAAACTCTTCCAGGCACATGGAGCAGTGTCATATATGTATAACAGTACATATGTTCAGTATGTTCTGTTCTGCAATATAAAAAAAAATAATAATAATACGGAAGTCAATGGGACCCAAAACCGTTTGGTTACATACATCTTTTATGTTCCACAGAAGAAAGAGTCACACAGTTTTGGAACGACATGGGAGTGAGTAAAGGATGACAGAATTTCATTTTTGAATGGACTACCTAGAAAATAATCTGTGGAAATCAACAAGAGTCCACAGACATTAAGCTCAAAATATGCTAATTATATTCCTTTAATCGTCACTGAAAACCTGCTGCATGGATGCTGGAATCAGCCAAGAGTAAAAGTGCCAGATCACTGCAAACAATCCTGGAATTTAGTGCTGAAAGGACATTGAACCCCCTTTCCTGAACACACAGGTTTAAAACACATGCACTCGTATCGGATCACATCAGGCTTCTCCTGCATCAGGAGACATGCGTGTGCTCTCGTGCAATGTTCAGTCATCAGCAGGCAGGCAAGAGAAAGAGAGAGAAACCTACAATCAAGAGATCTGACACACACAAAAAACCCAGGGGGAGAAGAAAGAGGCAGAACACTGAAGGATGGATGGATGGATGGAGCAAGCGGAGATGTAGAGGAGAGAGAAAGTGAGTGCAAATAGAAAGAAGAAGAAGAGCTAGAAGGAGAGAGAGAGAGAGAGAGAGAGAATAAAGGGACCCTGTTGGAAAATCCAACTAAAAGCAGCTGCTGATATCGGCACTTTTGAATCTTTTGGGTCGTCTGCTACGCTATTTATGTTCAGGAAGCATCGATTTTAGATTTACCTGCACATAAACATCACATTACAACAAAATGAACTATCTAAATCTGCAGTCACACTAGACTTTGTGCTCCATTCACTTCTATTCATATGCACGTGAGACCAGAAACCATGAAAGTTCAGCTTAAACAACACTAGACCTGCAGATAATCAACATAGAGAGACTATATTGGCCTAAGCTTGACATTAAATGACATCTGCTTGTCTATATGTTTGGTGGGGCCTGGTTTTGATCTGGTAGATGATTATGGTCAAGCTGGTTAGAATTGGAAACCGCTTTAGACTGGCAACATGCCAGTGACCACAATCGCAAACCCCCAGCTTGACTGACTTAAACTGATATGACCAGTTTTTTCCAGCAGGGGAGAGATGATTTTGTGGGGTGTTTTCACACTGATCATGATTTGCAGCAACAAAATGACAAGAAGTCATTTATTTTCATTCAAATCTGCCGATTTCAGTAGAAACTACTTGCGATGTGATCTGGCCATGTTTAGTGATGAAAAAACTATTTTTACTTAATGCAAATAAGAGTAGCAACTACCAATAGAAGTGAGTAATTCCACCATTTATGATACAGTAATATTGTGAAATACCTTTTACAATTTAAAATAACTGGTTTCTGTTTGAATATATTGTAAAATTTAATTTATTGCTGTGACGCAAATCTGAATTTTCAGCATCATTACTCCAGTCTTCAGTGTCACATGATCCTTCAGAAATCATTCTAATATGCTGATTTGTTGCTCAAGAAACATTTCTGATTATAAACAACGTTGAAAACAGTTGTGCTGCTTCATATTTTTGTGGAATTCTTTGATGAATATTAAGTTCAAAAGAACAGCATTTATCTGAAATAAATCTTTTGTAACATTATAAATGTATTTACTTTTGATCAATTTAATGCATCCTAGATGAATAAAACTATTAAAATATTATTAAGAATATGGTAGCATATATCCAAGGTATATATTTTATCAATTGACCCGTTCCCTAGAAATTGAACCCATGCACAGCTAATCTAATACAAAGTGTCAAAAAACTGTGCTTTTTAAATCAGTTTGTTTCATGCATTAATAATCGCTAATCTTGTTCTTGATTTGATGCATTATGCATTTCTGCAATTACAACACTTTCCTATCCAGAATTCAAATTTTCAGCTGCAAGAAAACCAATCTGATCCCTTTATGATCAGATATTAACAAACTATGGCTGGTTACACAGCCCAAGGCAGTACGAACGACTCTACAATCAACAATACGGCTACACAAGGTGACCTGCAGCGATGCATATCACAGCCAGTGTGAACGGGGCTTTATGAAAAAATAGAGAGAGATGGAGAGGAAAAAGAGAGCTAGAAAAAAAGAAGAAAGAGAGATCTAACGGCCATTCCCAAAGTCAGCCAGCGGCGTCTGCAGTGCTGAACACGAGACCGCTGTAACCGTGTCATGCTCCAAGCTCCATGCTGAATATGAATCATGAGAAGGAGAACATGAAGCAGAGAGGATGGATGGATGGATGAGAGGTGAGGGGACGAGGGCTACCTTGTTCCACCAGACTGGTGGTGGTACCGGCTGCAGCGGCGGCCGCAGAGACGGAGGCGGGTGCCGTGGTCTGCCTGCCCACTGCCAGACACACACAGACACACATATGCCCATCGTGCCATAGACTACTGGTTCTCAACTGGTTTTGCCAGCACAGTATCAAAATTGTTTAGTGCACAAAAATGTCCTGAAAGCATCTATGGCCTATTTCATGAAGCCGGTTTCACACCGTGTCCTAACCAGATACGACATGACACCGCGATTCACCATGTTAATCAGAGTTTTTGTCCTAACCAGCCGCTGGAACAACAGCATACAAACTATGACAAGGATTATCTCAGATACTGATTATGTGCTTTATTTAATATTAAAAGTGTGATATTGAATATCATTTTGCATGATCTTTAAAGCCATACTAGAAGCAACAATGCTAATTTAGATCTTGACAATAAATTAAAGAACATTAAACCTGTGAACTCAATGTAAATAAACAAGCAAAGACTGTATCAGTCACTCAGTATGTATTTTTAATAATGCTAAAACGGTAATATTTATTAATTAGTTTATGTATCCATTTCATCGCGAATGCAGTGCACTTGCAGAGAGACTCCGCCACTTGATTTCTCGATGCATCGATTACAAATCCTGCTGATGCATATGATTTTTTTATCCAAAGATTCATATTTGTTATATTTATTTTATATTATATCCTTAATGCATTACACATAAGCAATTATATTTCAACATTCAACTTTTAATTTAAATAAATATAAATACATACATATAAATACAGGTTTTAGAATATATATATACAATTTTACGTGTTTTCTTTTAAGATCTTTGTGAACCTATATAAATGATTACTTAAATAAATTCAGTTGATTCACTTGCATTAATATAGTAAGATATTTTCTTTCAGCTGCCTTCTCATACTTTTTGGCAGCTGTGATGTTTTTCCCTGCCTTCTAAATGTGTTTAAATGTATTATATTTTTCAATGATCTCTTTCATTCTTTAGCAGGGAAATGAATTGTGCCGAGTCTCTCATGAGAAATGAATCAAACTGAGGCTCTCCACATTTCGTGTGATTGGCTGTCCGCCGCTGATGTCACACTTTCAGGTGCACAAGCTCTAGAGTTAATCATGAACTCTAAATTAACCCCTGAGTTGCCAAAGAATGTTTTTGGTGAACCTGCTAAACTAAACTGGGTTGGATTTGGTTGTTTTTGTCAACTCTAAACGTACTCTGAAACTCAGAGCAGGTGATACGCAACCTGTCCATGTTGACTAATTTGTCAACCTGTCTAATTTTAACTTCTATCAAGTGACATGAATTTACACCAAAATACCGCAAACACACGGCCTTTTACACTAGATTCAATTTTAGGTTTCGGCCCCACCAGTTGAGAACCACTGCTGTAGACCTTGAGAGAGAAACCAAAGGATAGAGCAGTCTGTTAGCGTGGAGAGAGTTAGCCGGAAACACAAGCCGCTGTCTGCAACCAGAGAGGGATTTTGAGAGTCCATTACAGTAGGTGGCGTAATCATATAATAAGGTTTCAGCTGTCACTCTGGAATAAAGAAAAGGCTCATTTTCTTGTCAAGCTCTCCTCGGGGAGCCACTCTCTCCTATCAGCGGGGAATGTGCCGCTTTCGCCAGCGCCAATCTACGCTACGGCAAAACAGAGCAAAGCATTTATTTGGGGGTTGGAGTTTCGACGTTGTGAGAAGGCAGTAGAAATACAGAGGGAAAAAGTGATCGAATAGGTGACAAAGAGGACAAACAGAAAAAAAGCTCTCATTAGACATTAAAGGGGCTATATCGTAGAAAACATGAATTTACTTGTTCTTCTGAAAAAAAAAAAAATTGTCAATCTGAAAAAACATTCACCCACATTTACTCTATTCAAACAAACATACAGCACAAACAATATACTCAGATTCACGAGCAAATGGCTCATTGAGTTATTGGTTTGAATCAGTCTAACCGACGAGTTGTATTCATCAGAGCGGTTACTAAAATAACACAGGAGTATCTTACTAAATGGATGTTTATATGATGTGTAGTTAAAGATACATGCTAACAAAACAGTTCAAAACTGTATTTTAATCTAACAAAAAATAGGTACCAAGGAACATTTGTTGACTATAACTGCCTTAATTACAGGACTTGGCAATTTCATAGTAGAAAACAAAAAATAAAATAAAATAAAATCTTTATAATATATTTCTATATTTATTTTTATTTGATATAAATAAATAAAAATATATTTTGTGTATTATAATATAAAATACAAATATAAAAATTATAGAAAATAGATAAAAATATGAAAGGATGTAAATAAATATCTAAAAATAATGTAATTTAAATAATTTCTATTTAAAAAGGCAATTCAAAATTGTTTTTTTATTTTTTTTTAATCATAGTCAATTTCTCTACTAAATGTTTTCTACCATGAAATAGCCAAGGCGGACAAGTGAAGTGTGTCCTTTTTTGATAATTAATTTTTTCCCCCCTATCCAAACACCCCTTAAAGGGCACTTTCAAAATTACCTAAATAAATACATATAAATTATTAAATTAAGAAATGTTAAATGTCAATGCCTATTCTTTAACTTTGATGGGGGGCATTGTTGAAAAGGGTATTAAATAGTCATGAAAAATTAAATTACCGTTTAAGGTGCAATAAATCTTGATTAAATTCTAACAGAACGTCAAAAGGAAAAAAGAAAATGTCCCTTTTAAAAAAAGAGGCCGAATAAAGAATAAGGGAATGACATATGAGGGCAAGTGTGTGGAGTGACGCTCGGACTCCCACGCCTCCTCTACCACTGAGTCACCCTGCGGGATGAGGTAATTACAGTAATGAGAGGCTGACGAGCCACGGATGGAGAGAGCAAGAAAGAGAGAGAGAGCATCTAAAACGCTCCACAAACAGGAACACTGTTGCTTCCGCCCACCAGCCTGCTGTTGAAGTGCGAGCGAGTGAGAGCGTGTGTGTGTGTGTGTGTGTGTTGGGATGTGAGAGAGCAGATGCTTCATTACAGCAGAAATAAATCACATGTTATTATAAACGCCAGTTCTCACATGTGGCGTTTGGCACAGCCGCAAACATCCAGAATTCTCTTTCTCTCCAAACAAGCCGTAAGCGGCCCGCTGCTCACAAACATCACGCACTTCCTATAGAACCGCTCGTGTCTGAATCAATCTGTCAGTACACTTTGAACCGACTTTGAACGTCCAGCTGCTCTTGAAATCGGATAAGAAAATAACATATGGTTCCCTTAGCTGTGAGATTTTAATGACTTTTAAAAGAGACATCAGCAGACCTTGAGTTTCCTTCTTGCGTTGAACTTCTTCAGGCACTCGACTGTTTCCTGTCTGTGCATCATGGACGCCACAGTGGAACGTTGCTGCAGGAAAGAGAGGAATCAAATTATTGATTAAAATTATAAGTGTTGTTTTACATATAGTCTTATATGTCAATATGAAACTAAAACCGATCCTATTTACTTTTTTTACTTATTGTGAACAGGTATATTTAAAAGAAAGGGGGGATTAATGAAGCCCCGCCACATTTTATATTGTGAACATTTTGTTTTATCACGAAACATATCATCTCAGAAGTAATATGGGTCACAAACGTCCATTCATTTTGACTTTAAAGGGGTGCTATTATGCTTTTTCACTTTTTCAACTTTAGTGACACTTTGAACCGACTTTGAACGTCCAGCTGCTCTTGAAATCGGATAAGAAAATAACATATGGTTCCCTTAGCTGTGAGATTTCTTGTCTGATGCTTCAAAGCATGAAGCAGGATTTATTAATAGCATGAATATTTAACTTTGAGATCACTTAAAGTGATAGTTCACCCAAAAATGACAACCCTGTCT